TATCTCTTGTTGGACCAATACTCTTACCTAGTATGTTTCAGATAAGTTCAACAATGGAGTGGCATGGACTAGAGGATGTGGAACCCCTTCAAGATGCTAAGGACAAAGGATTGGCTCAAGCTCAAAGCACAAGACTCTATATTTTACTTTTAGTGATCCAAGATCACATTGAGTCCATAGAAAAGCCAATAGTATTAAGAGGGGATGAGGTGTTGCTTAATGGCTTGCTTGCTCAAAGTGCTTAGTGATATGCTCCAAAGCCCTCAACCACTTTCTCACATCCACAGATGTCCCAAACCAAAAATCAAACTCGGCCCCACCGAATCTTTCTATCCGGCACCACCGAGTTCTCTTGACATAGCCACTGCCAGAAACCCTAATCGAGTCGGTCTCACCGATGGGATCTCGGTCTCACCGAGATGGGCTTGCAAACTCTCTGTTTCCTATTGCAATAATTTCGGTCCCACCGAGGTATGCAATCGGTCCCACCGAGTTTGCCTGGCCAACTCTCTATTTCGCTTATTACCCAAATCGGTCCCACTGAGTTTGTGTAATCGGTCAAAGCGAGTTGAGGCTTTACCCTAACCCTAGAACATCGGTTCTACCGAGTTGATCTTGTTGGTCCCACCGAAATGCCTAACGGTCACATTATGAACTAAATCAGTCTGACCGAGTTTCACGATTCGGTCCCACCGAGTTTGGTAAATTATGTGTAACGGTTAGATTTTGTGTGGAGGCTATGTATACCCCTCCACCCACTCTTCATTCATGGAGAGAGTCATCAGAACATGCCTACACTTCCAACATACATTTTCTGAGAGAGAACCACCTACACTTGTGTTGAGGTCAAGATATTCCATTCCTACCACATAAATCTTGATCTCTAGCCTTCCCCAAGTTGCTTTCCACTCAACTCTTCTTTCCACCAAATCCAAATCTTGTGAGAGAGAGTTGAGTGTTGGGGAGACTATCATTTGAAGCACAAGAGCAAGGAGTTCATCATCAACACACCATTTGTTACTTCTTGGAGAGTGGTGTCTCCTAGATTGGCTAGGTGTCACTTGGGAGCCTCCGTCAATATTGTAGAGTTGAACCAAGGAGTTTGTAAGGGCAAGGAGATCGCCTACTTCGTGAAGATCTACCCGAGTGAGGCAAGTCCTTCGTGGGCGATGACCATGGTGGGATAGACAAGGTTGCTTCTTCGTGGACCCTTCGTGGGTGGAGCCCTCCGTGGACTCGCACAACCGTTACCCTTCGTGGGTTGAAGTCTCCATCAAGGTGGATGTACGATAGCACCACCTATCAGAACCATGGATAAAAAATCTCCGTGTCTCCAAATTGCGTTTGCACACTCCAATCCCATCCCTTTACATTCTTGCAATTTGCATGCTTTACTTTCCGCTGCTCATATACTCTTGTCATGCTTTCTTGATATGTATTGTGAATGTTAAAACTTGTGCCAAAACTCCACTTCAACTTAAAGAGATTAAAAACTGCAACTTTTCTTACTTAGAGTC